GAGGCCGCCCAGAGGCGTGAGCGGGGCTGGGCCTCAAGAGGCCAGTGGCAGGCAGGAGGAGCTGGGCCTGGAGAGGCTGACCTGAGGAAGTCTGGGAGCTGGGGAGGCCGCGGAGAGGCAGGAGCTGGGCCGGCGGAGGCCGACTGGGTGACGAGTTGAGCCCGTAGGAGCCGCTGGGAGCAGGAGCGAGACCTGGGGAGGCCGAGACTCGAGGCCAGCGTGGGCCTGCAGAGGCCGCCGGCAGGAGGAGCTGGGCCTGGAGAGGCTGGCTGAAGGAACTCTGGGGCATGGATACGCCGTCGGAGGGCAGGAGCAGGGCCCTGAGAGGCCACCGTGGGGCCTGGATACAGGACGTTTGGGGCCTACAAAGGCCGTGGAGCGGGAGCTGGGCCGGAACCGAGTCCAAAGAGGTTGTCGTGCGGCCGGGGCTGGGCCCGCGGCCTCAGCCGGGAGCAGGAGGAGCTGGGCCTGTACGGGAGGCCGGGAGGCCGCAACTGGGGCTGGAGGGGTCAGCCTGAGGAAGTTCGGGGCCTGGAGAGGCCGCCGAAAGGCACAGGCTGGGCCTGGAAAGGCCGTTCCCCGTGACGAATGAGCCGGGCCTAACGAGGCCACTGGGAGGCAGGAGCGGGTCCCGGCGTGCTGCCAAAAGGCAGGAGGAGCTCTGGCCTGGGGAGGCTGCAGTCACGCGAGAGCTGGGCGTGGAGAGTCCGCTGGGAGGCAGAGGCTGCGCCTGTGCAGGCCTTCGGGAGGTAGGAGGCTTGGCCTGTCGAAGCCGACTGGAGGTCAAGTCCTGGGCCTGAGGAGGCCGCCCAGAGGCATGAGCGGGCCTGGGCCTCAAGACGGCAGTGGCAGGCAGGAGGAGCTGGGCGTGGAGAGGCTGACCTGAGGAAGTCTGGCAGCTGGGGAGGCCGCGGAGAGGCAGGAGCTGGGCCGTCGGAGGCAGACTGGGCGACGAATTGGGCCCGCAGGGGCCACCGGGAGCAGGAGCGAGCCCTGGAGAGGCCGAGACTCGAGGCCAGAGTGGGCCTGCAGAGGTCGCCGGCAGTAGGAGCAGGGCTTGGAGAGGCTGGCTGGAGGAAGTCTGGGGCGTGGAGACGCCGTCGGAGGGCAGGAGCCGGGCCCGGAGACGCCACCGTGGGGCCCGGCTTCATAACGTTTGGGGCCTGCAGGAGGAGCTGGGCCTGGAGAGGCTGGCTGGAGGAAGTCTGGGGCGTGGAGACGCCGTCGGAGGGCAGGAGCCGGGCCCGGAGAGGCCACCGTGGGGCCCAAGCCTGGCAGCTGGGGAGGCCGCGGAGAGGCAGGAGCTGGGCCGGCGGAGGCCGACTGGGCGACGGGTTGGGCCCGCAGGGAGGCCGCAGTCAGGCCAGAGCTGGGCGTGGAGAGGCCGCCGGCAGGCAGGAGGCTGGGCCTGCGCAGGCCGCCGGGAGGCAGGAGGCTGGGCCTGGCGAGGCCGACTGGAGGTCAAGTCCTGGGCCTGAGGAGGCCGCCCAGAGGCGTGAGCGGGGGCCTGGCGAGGCCGACTGGAGGAAGTCTGGGGCGTGGAGACGCCGTCGGAGGGCAGGAGCCGGGCCTGGAGAGGCCACCGTGGGGCCCGGCTTCAGGACGTCCAGAGGCGTGAGCGGGGCTGGGCCTCAAGAGGCCAGTGGCAGGCAGGAGGAGCTGGGCCTGGCCTGTGCAGGCCTTCGGGAGGCAGGAGGCTGGGCCTGGCGAGGCCGACTGGAGGTCAATTCCTGGGTCTGAGGAGGCCGCTCAGAGGCGTGAGCGGGGCTGGGCCTCAAAAGGACAGTGGCAGGCAGGAGGAGCTGGGCCTGGAGAGGCTGACCTGAGGAAGTCTGGCAGCTGGGGAGGCCGCGGAGGCCGAAAGGCAGGAGGACCTCTGGTCTGGGGAGGCCGCAGTCAGGCGAGAGCTGGGCGTGGAGAGTCCCTTGGGAGACAGAGGCTGGGCCTGTACAGGCCTTCAGGAGGCAGGAGGCTGAGCCTGCCGAGGCCGACTGGAGGTCAATTCCTGGGCCTGAGGAGGCCGACCAGAGGCGTGAGCGGGGCTGGGCCTCAAGAGGCCAGTGGCAGGCAGGAGGAATTCGGCCTAGAGAGGCTGACCTGAGGGAGTCGGCAGCTGGGGAGGCCGCGGAGAGGTAGGAGCTGGGCCGGCGGAGGCCGACTGGGTGACGAGTTGGGCCGGCAGGGGGCGCCGGGAGCAGGAGCGACCCCTGGAAAGGCCGAGACTCGAGGCCAGCGTGGGCCTGCAGAGGCCGCCGGCAGGAGGAGCTGGGCTTGAAGAGGCTGTCTGGAGGATGTCTGGGGCGTGGAGACACCGTCGGAGGGCAGGAGCCGGTCCCGGAGAGACCACCGTGGGGCCCGGATACAGGACGTTTGGGGCCTACAAAGGCCACGGAGCGAGAGCTGGGCCGGAGCCGCGTCTAAAGAAGTTGTCGTGAGGCCGGTGCTGGGCCCACAGCCGCAGCCGGGAGCAGGAGGAGCTGGGCCTGGACGAGAGGCCGGGAGGCCGCAACTGGGCCTGGACGGGAGGCCGGGAGGCCGCAACTGGGCCTGGAGGGGCCGGGCTGAGGAAGTTCGGGGCCTGGAGAGGCCGCCGAAAGGCACAGGCTGGGCCTGGAAAGGCCGTTCCCCGTGACGAATGAGCCGGGCCTAACGAGGCCACTGAGAGACAGGAGCGGGGCCCGGCGGAGCTCCTGAAAGGCAGGAGGAGCTCTGGCCTGGGGAGGCCGCAGTCAGGCGAGAGCTGGGCGTGGAGGGTCCGCTGGGAGGCAGAGGCTGGGCCTGTTCAGGCCTTCGGGAGACAGGATGCTGGGTCTGGCGAGGCCGACTGGAGGTCAAGTCCTGGGCCTGAGGAGGCCGCCCAGAGGCGTGAGCGGGCCTGGGCCTCAAGAGGCCAGTGGCAGGCAGGAGGAGCTGGGCCTGGAGAGGCTGACCTGAGGAAGTCTGGCAGCTGGGGAGGCCGCGGAGGCCGAAAGGCAGGAGGAGCTCTGGCCTGGGGAGGCCGCAGTCAGGCCAGAGCTGGGCGTGGAGAGTCCGCTGGGAGGCAGAGGCTGGGCCTGTGCAGGCCTTCGGGAGGCAGGAGGCTGGGCCTGGCGAGGCCGACTGGAGGTCAAGTCCTGGGCCTGAGGAGGCCGCCCAGAGGCGTGAGCGGGGCTGGGCCTCAAGAGGCCAGTGGCAGGCAGGCGAGAGCTGGGCCTGGAGGGAGGCAGGAGGCTGGGCCTGGCGGAGGCCGACTGGAGGTCAAGTCCTGGGTCTGAGGAGGCCGCCCAGAGGCGTGAGCGGGGCTGGGCCTCAAGAGGCCAGTGGCAGGCAGGAGGTTCCCCGTGACGAATGAGCCGGGCCTAACGAGGCCACTGGGAGGCAGGATGGCAGCTGGGGAGGCCGCGGAGAGGTAGGAGCTGGGCCGGCGGAGGCCGACTGGGCGACGAGTTGAGCCCGCAGGGGCCGAAGGGAGCAGAAGCGAGCCCTGGAGAGGCCGAGACTCGAGGCCAGTGTGGGCCTGCAGAGGCCGCCGGCAGGAGGAGCTGGGCCTGGAGAGGCTGGCTGGAGGAAGTCTGGGCTGTGGAGACGCCGTCGGAGGGCAGGAGCCGGTCCCGGAGAGGCCACCGTGGGGCCCGGCTTCAGGACGTTTGTGGCCTACAAAGGCCGCGGAGCGGGAGCTGTGCCGGAGCCGATTCCAAAGAGGTTGTCGTGAGGCCAGGGCTGGGCCCGCGGCCGCAGCCGGGAGCAGGAGGAGCTGGGCCTGGCCGGCAGGCCGGGAGGCCGCTACTGGGCCTAGAGGGGCCGGCCTGAGGAAGTTCAGCGCGTGGAGAGGCCGCCAAAAGGCACAGACTGGGCCTGGAAAGGCTGTTCCCCGTGACGAATGACCTGGGCCTAACGAGGCTACTGGGAGGCAGGAGCGGGGCCCGGCGGAGCTGCCGAAAGGCAGGAGGAGCTGTGGCCTGGGGAGGCCTCAGTCAGGCGAGAACTGGGCGTGGAGAGTTCGCTGGGAGGCAGAGGCTGGGCCTGTGCAGGCCTTCGGGAGGGAGGAGGCTGGGCCTGGCGAGGCCGCCCAGAGGTGTCAGCGGGGCTGGGCCTCAAGAGGCCAGTGGCAGGCAGGAGGAGCTGGGCCTGGAATGAGCCGGGCCTAACGAGGCCACTGGGAGGCAGGAGCGGGGCCCGGCGGAGCTTCCAAAATGCAGGAGGAGCTCTGGCCTGGGGAGGCCGCAGGCAGGCGAGAGCTGGGCGTGGAGAATCCGCTGGGAGGCAGAGGCTGGGCCTGTGCAGGCCTTCGGGAGGCAAGAGGGTGGGCCTGGCGAGGCCGACTGGAGGACAAGTCCTGGACCTGAGGAGGCCGCCCAGAGGTGTCAGCGGGGCTGGAGAGGCCGCCGCCAGGAGGAGCTGAGCCTGAAGAGGCTGGCTGGAGAAAGTCTGGGACGTGGAGACGCCGTCGGAGAGCAGCAGCCGGGCCCGGAGAGGCCACCGTGGGGCCCGGCTTCAGGACGTTTGGGGCCTACAAAGGTCGCGGAGCGAGAGCTGGGCCGGAGCCGAGTCCAAAGAATTTGTCGTGAGGCCGGGGCTGGGCCCGCGGACGCAGCCGGGAGCAGGAGGAGCTGGGCCTGGACGGGAGGCCGGGAGGCCGGGAGGCCGCAACTGGGCCTGGAGGGGCCGGCCTGAGGAAGTTCGGGGCCTGGAGAGGCCGCCGAAAGGCACAGGCTGGGCCTGGAAAGGCCGTTCCCGGCAACTGGGCCGGCGGATGCCGACTGGGCGACGAGTTGGGCCCGCAGGGGCCACCGGGAGCAGGAGCGAGTCCTGGAGAGGCCGAGACTCGAGGCCAGAGTGGGCCTGCAGAGGCAGCCGGCAGGAGGAGCAGGGCCTGGAGAGTCTGCCTGGAGGAAGTCTGGGGCATGGAGACGCCGTCGGAGGGCAGGAGCCGGGCCCGGAGAGGCCACCGTGGGGCCTGGCTTCAGGACTTTTGGGGCCTCCAAAGTCCGCGGAGCGGGAGCTGGGCCGGAGCCGAGACCAAAGAGGCTGTCGTGAGGCCGGGGCTGGGCCCGCGGCCGCAGCCGGGAGCAGGAGGAGCTGGGCCTGGACGGGAGGCCGGGAGGCCGGGAGAGCTGGGCCTGGAGAGGCTGACCTGAGGAAGCCTGGCAGCTGGGGAGGCCGCGGAGAGGCAGGAGCTGGGCCGGCGGAGGCCGACTGGGCGACGGGTTGGGCCCGCAGGGGCCACTGGGAGGCAGGAGCGGGGCCCGGCGGAGCTGCCGAAAGGCAGGAGGAGCTCTGGCCTGGGGAGGCCGCAGTCAGGCCAGAGCTGGGCCTGCAGAGGCCGCTGGGAGGAGGAGGCTGGGCCTGGAGAGGCCGTTCCCCGTGACGGATGAGCCGGGCCTAACGAGGCCACTGGGAGGCAGGAGGCTGGGCCCGGCGGAGCTGCCGAAAGGCAGGATGGCCTGGGGAGGCCACCGTGGGGCCCGGCTTCAGGACGTTTGGGGCCTCCAAAGGCCGCGGAGAGTCCTGGGCCTGAGGAGGCCGCCCAGAGGCGTGAGCTGGGCTTGGACGGGAGGCCGGGAGGCCGCAACCCTCAAGAGGCCAGTGGCAGGCAGGAGGAGCTGGGCCTGGAGAGGCTGACCTGAGGAAGTTGGGCCTGCAGAGGCCGCCGGCAGGAGGAGCTGGGCCTGGAGAGGCCGAGACTCGAGGCCAGCGTGGTCCTGCAGAGGCCGCCGGCAGGAGGAGCTGGGCCTGGAGAGGCTGGCTGGAGGAAGTCTAGGGCATGGAGACGCCGTCGGAGGGCAGGAGCCGGGCCCGGAGAGGCCACCTTGGGGCCCGGCTTCAGGACGTTTGGGGCCTCCAAAGGCCGCGGAGCGGGAGCTGGGTTGGAGCCGAGTCCAAAGAGGTTGTCGTGAGGCCGGGGCTTGGCCCGCGGCCGCAGCCGGGAGCAGGAGGAGCTGGGCCTGGACTGGAGGCCGGGAGGCCGCAACTGGGACTGGAGGGGCCGGCCTGAGGAAGTTCGGGGCCTGGAGAGGCCACCAAAAGGCACAGGCTGGGCCTGGAAAGGCCGTTCCCCGTGATGAATGAGCCGGGCCTAACGAGGCCACTGGGAGACAGGAGCGGGGCCCGGCGGAGCTGCCGAAAGGCAGCAGGAGCTCTGGCCTGGGGAGGCCGCAGTCAGGCCAGAGCTGGGCGTGGAGAGTCCGCTGGGAGGCAGACGATGGGCCTGTGCAGGCCTTCGGTAGGCAGGAGGCTGGACCTGGCGAGGCCGACTGGAGGTCAAGTCCTGCGCCTGAGGAGGCCGCCCAGAGGCGTGAGCGGGCCTGGAGAGGCCGCCGCCAGGAGGAGCTGAGCCTGAAGAGGCTGGCTGGAGAAAGTCTGGGACGTGGAGACGCCGTCGGAGAGCAGCAGCCGGGCCCGGAGAGGCCACCGTGGGGCCCGGCTTCAGGACGTTTGGGGCCTACAAAGGTCGCGGAGCGAGAGCTGGGCCGGAGCCGAGTCCAAAGAATTTGTCGTGAGGCCGGGGCTGGGCCCGCGGACGCAGCCGGGAGCAGGAGGAGCTGGGCCTGGACGGGAGGCCGGGAGGCCGGGAGGCCGCAACTGGGCCTGGAGGGGCCGGCCTGAGGAAGTTCGGGGCCTGGAGAGGCCGCCGAAAGGCACAGGCTGGGCCTGGAAAGGCCGTTCCCGGCAACTGGGCCGGCGGATGCCGACTAGTCGACGAGTTGGGCCCGCAGGGGCCGCCGGGAGCAGGAGCGAGCCCTGGAGAGGCCGAGACTCGAGGCCAGCGTGGGCCTGCAGAGGCCGCCGGCAGGAGCTGGGCCTGGAGAGGCTGGCTGGAGGAAGTCTGGGGCATGGAGACCCCGTCGGAGGGCAGGAGCCGGGGCCGGAGAGGCCACCGTGGGGCCCAGTTTCAGGACGTTTGGGGCCTACAGAGGCCGCGGAGCGGGAGCTGGGCCGGAGCCGAGCCCAAAGAGGTTGTCGTGAGGCCGGGGCTGGGCCCGCGGCCGCACACGGGAGCAGGAGGAGCTGGGCCCGGACGGGAGGCCGGGAGACCGCAACTGGGCCTGGAGAGGGCGGCCTGAGGAAGTTCAGGGCCTGGAGAGGCCGCCAAAAGGCAAAGGCTGGGCCCGGAATGGTCGTTCCCCGTGACGAATGAGCGGGGCCTAGTGAGGCCACTGGGTGGCAGGAGCGGGGCCCAGCGTAGCTGCCCAAAGGCAGGAGGAGCTCTGGCCTGGGAAGGCCGCAGACAGGCGAGAGCTGGGCGTGGAGAGTCCGCTGGGAGGCAAAGGCTGGGCCTGTGCAGGCCTTCGGGAGGCAGGAGGCTGGGCCTG